GCAGATGTCCTCCGCCAGGCCCTTTCACCATGTGTTTTTGCCTTGGAGACAGCCAACTTTGGACTGAATCCATTGGAAATTCTGAGCCAAATAAATCTCTCCTTCTTTAGGTTGTAGGTGTCAGGTATTTTGTCCCAGCAACAGGCAAGTGAATAATACCCACACAAAACAGAGTTTTTATTTGTAGTTAAAGAAAGGGCTGAATTTCTAGATACCTAGTAGTAGTTTACAAATCTAAAGTAAGTTAGATTTTTTTTCTGAAACTGGAGATTGAACCTAGGGGCTGTCTACCTCTCAATTACATCCCCAGCCCTTCCCTCCCTCCCTCCCTCCCTTCCTTCCTTCCTTCCTTCCTTCCTTCCTTCCTTCCTTCCTTCCTCCCCCCCCCCTTTTTATTTGACAGGCTCTCATTAAGTTGCCCAGGATAGTTTTGAACTTATGATCTTCCTGCCTCAGCCTCGTGAGTAGCTGGAATTTCAGCTGGGCACCACCAGGCCCACTTAAATAAGCTAAGTTTTAAAAATTCCATTTCAAGGACCTCATTGTTTCCCAAGAGTGGAGCTAGGTCAAAATTTCCTTAACTTAAAGATAAATAAATAACACTGATTCACATAAAACATCACAAAATTCAAAAGTTGGCCAAACTCACAGTTTCTCACTAGAAAACACCTCATTTTATTCAACAATCAAGACAAGGGGTGATCGAACAATATGGTGAATGTTTAAATTTTTAAAAACTTATTATAATAAAGAACACATTGTCAAGAATGATGGGGTGTGTTAAAAGTAAAGAGTATTTTGAGGGGGGATTAATGACGATGTATCTCTTACTGTGATAACTTTTTAAACTTCCAACATCCATCATATTTTATGATCACTGCACATTGATCAAATGTTTACTGCAGGTTCTGATGAATAAAAACATCATGGTGTATCCTCATCCACTTTATTCGCTGGATCTGGTACCATGAGACTCTGGCTCTACCCCAAGTCAAAATGACCATGAAAGGTTAATGTTTTCATTTGATTCAGGACATCAAAGCAATGACAGCAGCTCAACTAAAGACACTCTCAAAAAAGGACTTCCAGAATTTCAGAAAGTGGAAAGAATGATGGGATAATTTCATTCAAAATGAAGGAGTCTCTTCTGAAGGGGGTTAATGGCAATGTCTCTTTCTTCTCCAATAAAATGTTTAAAATTTAAACATTCACCATGTTTTTGATCACACCTCATACAAATGGACACTTACAAAGTGCCAGATGCTCTGCTAGGAGCTGTGAATAAATGACTGAATACAATAGGCAAAAGTTTCTGTTCTTCTAGACCTCATGTCACTTTTCTTAAGGGCTTCTGTATTGAATTAAAACATCAACAAATTGTTGACATGAAGAATAAACTAGTGTCCTTCACTAAATGGGTGTAGTAACCAATGTGATAAAAACTAAAATTAAAAAGTACTGCGTGAAGAATTTCTATAGGATTCTTTTCTTCTTGCAGCATCAATGTTCGTGAATGTTTTTTACTATGTTTTTTACTTTTTTTTTTTTGTGCTGGGGATCGA